GTTAATTTATTTTTACTTACATAGTAGATACAAAAATGATATAAAATATACTAACAACCCTATAGAAAACACAAGAACAACAGATAAGAGAAAAATCCTGTACTTTCATTTTATTGAACCCTGGACAGAGATTGCCAATAATTACTAATTGAGTGAAAATGACAGTTTACTAAAAAAGATGAGCAGAACTAGATTAATACATGTAATCATATATATATATGCACATATATATATATATATATCCCAGGATCACTTATATATAGCCCAGGATATCACTATTGATAAAGACACTATAAGTTGGCATGGGTTCTGACAAGATAAAGAAATTTTGTGTTTCTGAATTCAAACATATTCAGCAGTTATTTACTGTGCAGTAAGTAAATATTAGTGATGCCCACAGTCATAGAAACATAAAGTCGAGATTATTCTGGATTCTTTGTACAGTTTGGGAACAACAAAGAGCTGAGATGAATGAATTATTGAGGAACTGGACTAATGGAGACAACAATATATGTTTTCAAAGTAGGAAGGAAGGTGGTTAGATCACAATAAAAATGGCATGTGGGCAGAGGAATATGAAGATGTGTGAGCATATTTATTAAGAAATTACTATATTACTGCGTTATTATTGTCAAGCATTACTGACAATAGATCAACATTGAGGATCCATGCATACATAATTTTCAATTTGTATTTGACCTGTGTTTTCTGTATAAAGAAGAGATCACATGACACAAAACTCATTCAACTTGTTCACTTAGTACAACAGGTAGTTAGTATTTCTAACAGCCATGTAGAAGGCATTAGAAAAATTGACAAAGAACCATGATCATTAAGATGTTCTTTTAAAATGCAGAATGCAAGTATTTGAAAGATAATTAAATTGTTTTTAGGAAAAACATCAAGGTTTAGGTGAAGTCTAAACTAGGAGAAAAAAACCTGTTATCTCCTCTATCATCAATATGCTAAATTATTAAATATCAACTTTTAAAATTTTTTCAGATTGGACTAACTGAGAAATAACCCTGTAAAGGTATTAGCAGTGTCTTATGCCAACCAAAATGGTGAAAAAGGCCTGAGTAAATGTTACATTATTTAAATAAATTAAACTATCATAGTGAGACCAAAATTATTTTATGCACTTGTTTTTATGCATGTCAGGAATATCTGGAGTCCTACTATTTCACATATAAATTTGTACACTTATATGTAAAGGCTGATCTCACTTTTACAGCATGTCTTTACAAGTTGTGGTAGCTTGAATGGGAATGACCCTCATAGGCTCATATATTTGAATGCTTCATCTTAAATTTGTTAAGCAGTTTGGGGTTTGGCCTTTTTGGAAGAAGTATGTCACTGGAGTGGACTTTGAGTTTTTAAAAGTCCACACCACTCTCATTTAGATCTTTCTCTGTGTCTGTGTCTGTCCGTCTGTCTCTGTCTCTGTCTCTGTCTCTGTCTCTGTCTCTGTCTCTGTCTCTCTCTCTCTCTCTCTCTCTCTCTCACTTGCTCTCAACTACTACTCCAGTGCTATGCCTGCCTGCTATATGTTGTTATGTTAATGGATTCACTCTCTGAAACTCTAAGTCCCCAATGAACTCATTCTTCTCTAAGTCACTTCAGCTTTGTCACAGCAATAAGAAAGTACATAAAACATATGTAAACCACCTTTTGTATGAACCTTTCAATACTCAAGTAAATGGCCATGCTTGGCCTCTCAAGTACTTTCACCATACTAAGTTCTGTGAGTCCAACCAGTTCTTTAAAAATATAAACAAACAAACAAACAAAAAACCTTATTCACCCAGGACATTGGAAATCAACAAAACTGCAAAGGTTTGCAAATTTGCAAATCAAAACCAAATTTCAGCCGGGCAGTGGTGGCGCATGCCTTTAATCCCAGCACTCGGGAGGCAGAGACAGGCGGATCTCTGTGAGTTCGAGGCCGGGCTGGACCGATAGCCTCTGAAACAACACAGAGAAACCCTGTCTCATAAAAACCAAAAAACAAAAAAACAAAAACCAAAAAAACAAATTTCAGTTGAATTGATGAGAGACAGAAAGACAATCAAAGAAATTTATTGAAGTCTTGTGGATGATTTTCTATTACAAAATTGATTATTTTTCTCTATTTCTTTCTCTGTCTTACCTTCTTTCTTTTAACTCTCTCTTTCATGTGTGTGTGTATATGTGTGTGTGTGTGTATGTAACAACCATGTTTTATGAAGACACTATATTCTTTGACTATAGGAAGTTATAAAGTGAGAAACCCAAACAAAATTAAATTATGAGACAAAGTGATAGATTCTCATTAACACAGAAGATAACTATTCTGTTAGAGTTGCATATAACATTTTGATGAATAAAGCCCACAATGGCAATGGTAATACTGCCTTTCAGAATATGAGGTCAGAGAGAAAACAGACTGAGTAAGACTTCTATGAAATGGAGATTCTATATGAAATATTCCAATTATAGACTGTTTTACTCCTCTGAAAAGAACTTGACCCTCTGTCTTTCCAGAAGTGTACAGCAAAGTACTGAGCAATTATTTGGGGGATTTAATGGGCTTTGACAGCTAGTCTTTAAACATGAGCCAGGAACTCCTGCTCTTTTTTCCACAGCAGGTTTGAAGCTGAATTATGTGACTAATTACATCAAATCTCTACCTTGTCACTAACCACACAAGTCTTATGTGTGATAATAACTTTCACACTATATGTCAATATTATTTCATAACTTCTGAACCAAATGTGTAATCAAAATAATAGAGGGTGAAAATAAAGGGATTGTCTTGTCTCAAAGCCATTTGCAGACTGCTTGGTTAGAAAATCCTTGTATTGCATACAACTCAAAACTAAAACAGAGTCTGTTCTCTCACACTTCTTTCAACATGTCTATGAATCATGTAGATGACCTCAATAATTTCCTTAGTGTTCTATCATATAGGAAGATCACATTCACTGTTGGACCTTTATAGCAGTAAGTGGGAAAATCAAGTTGCTATGAAAAGGAATCATAATAACTTTGAAATATCTCAGCTGGGCAGTAGTGGCTCAAGACTTTAATCTCAGAACTAGAAAGGCAAAGTTCAAGGCCATTCTTGTCTACAGAGTGAGTTCCAGGACAGGCAGGGTGGTTACATGAAGAAAACCCTGTTTTACAAAACAAAACAAAGAAAACAAAACAATATTCAATGTCTCTGACAATACTATAGTCTAACTGAAGACACGCTTAAGAGTCTACAAGAGGCTTTGGATATTTGTGAGGCTGAAATATCTTTTCAAAATTCTTAATGTGCAATGGTCTCTTTAACTTGCCACAAATATGCATACAAAGGAGGGGAGGGATAGGATCTTGTTTCTAGATGAAAATATATTAAGTTTGTGGCAATTTATCTTTCATAGCATATTATGGGGAATTGCCAGCAGGCCACAGATGCAAACCCTATGAGAAGCCTGAAGAGACATCTGTGAGGAGGGCAAATGAGTTAAACTGCAGTGCATTAATGAGGTGTCAATTACCCTCTAGATGAATGCTTCAAATATTTATTTTAAAAAGGAAAATTATCTCCATGTAATTTTTTTCTATGCCTGCTTAGTAAGAAGTGTTTCCATTTTAAATATTCTCATGAAACAAACACAATGAGAGAAGAAAGACAGAAGAGAGGCATGAGAAAGAAAAGGACAAAGGACATGAGCTTATGGAATAATGGAGAACAAAAGACAGGTAACATTTAATATTACCTCTGTCAATAAGTCACCATCTCCCTAATGTTTAGACAATTAAATTCAAATGTCTGCGTGAAAAATTTAATTAGTAATTTTATACTTCCTTTCTAGTTCACAATTTGTTTCTCCCCACTACTCCCCAAATGAAACCCATTATGAATCATGTCAAAACCAATAACATAAGTAGTTGTGTTCCCTTACCTCAGAGTTCAGGGACATTGAACAGGCAAATACAAATTCATCAATTGGCAAATTCACATAAATGACAGACCTTCTTTTAAAAACCTAGTATATAGAGTTAACCACTGTTTCCAACAACAGAGAGAATACCACATGGAAGAAAATCCTTGAGACACTAACAGTCATGTGAGTTCTCAAATGTATGAGAAGACAGATGCGTCTATCTGGGAAAGCCTTTGAAAACTAAGCTTCGATGCTGTAACTGAGCCTCTAGATTCCATCACTTTTAATAAAGCATGTTATATTTTTTACATATGCATGTCAGATATTTAAAGAGAAGCCTTGGGTTTTTAATCATTTTATTTAGCCCTTGGTACTCAATTAATATTTATTGAATCAATAAATAAATTCTCTTAGTAGAAATTGTTAAATAGTAAGATGACATATTACTGTTTTAGAAACTAACACTATTCTCTGATTATAATATTGTTTTTAACTTACTAATATGTCTGACAGTAGATTGCATTTTACCAAAGCACATGCTGTTGATAGGGTCTGCTTTATCACAGACATGCTTTGAATCATAGTCATGAGCTCTTTGCTCTCTTTCGTTTCATTTGTGACAGTCAATTAGCTGGAAATGAGGGTAATTAGACTTATTACTGAATGCTTATCTCAAATATCAGGGAAAGAGATTTGGTATAATATCAAAGTAAAACTATCTTTTTGTATAATTTTTGTTCTTTGTTGAGACACTATAAAATTTGTATAAGGTTAGAAAAATGGTAACAAAGCATTTAATGAATATTGATTGTGAACCTAGCCTTTAACAGCTGAACCATCCTCCAGCCCCATTTAATAAGTATTGAAAGAAACAGGCACAAAAATCAACCAAGCAATGGAAATCACTGATGTAAGAGACCAGAGAGTAGAAAGGAAAATATTAAAAGCATAAGGTAATATTATCCTGTTTTTCATGTGTATTGTTAATGTGATGAGCAATTAGCTTGTGATTTAATAATATATCCTAAACAGTTTAATTATGCATCAACCTACAATGATATTTCACAGATTTATAAAATTACTGACCCAATTTGGTACAATTGACATGTGTTTCATCGCTGAAGTCTCCACAGTCATTGTCACCATCACAGGCCCAATGCCCTGGGATACAACGGCCCATGGAACATCTGAACTGGTCATCAAAGCAAGAGTGAACACAGCCCACCTCATCACTCCTGTCCCCGCAGTCATCATCTGAAAAAAAAAACTAAAAGCTAGTAAAATCTAGTTTGGAAGAACATTTTTTTCTTAAATTTTTAACATATTCTTTGCAGAGTTTACTGATGGTTTTGGAAAAGGAAAAACTCCATTCATGACCAATATTTCCCATGAACAGTCTCCTTTTAATTGATACTACATCTATTCTGGTCTAATAGCAAATGCAAATGGAAGCACTGACTTTGGATTTTGCAACTGAAAATCTAATTCATTCATAAATAACTAACCACTGACTAACTGCCTCTCCACCACAAGGATTAAGAGGAATGTGGTGACTATGTGAATGTTAGGTGATACAGTGCAATAGAATTATGGTGAAATTATGACTTGAAGCTATCATTTCTGCAACTCAGAACTTGTGGCTGTGTCTTCTCAGTATTTGTCTCTAAGCTTTGACATGAGGATTTTCTGCTCAATCCTCCCTTGCTGCCTACATGACTGGATTCATACCTGGAACCTGTATGTTCACATTAGAAATGATTCAAACTCAGGATTGACCACTGTGAGAGGGAGAGGAAGGGGCCAGGCAAAGACAATGGATTAAATGGAGCTAAATAACATTGATTAATATGTAACTCATTTGCCTACATTTAGAATGGCTTGGCATAATGATACAATGAAGAACAGGGAAAAATCATTACTTACGCATAAAAGGCAAGGTGACAGAGCTAAGATCATCTGGATAATTGCACAATAATTCACAAACTGCCAAGGTTACAAAAATGCTTTGGGAACCTGAAATTGCTCTGGTCATCTCCTTAATTGTTCCCTTTATTCATCTTTGTAGATTTAGTCTAAGACCAAAATAATATCTGAAAATGAAGCACTGTTAAAGCCCCATGGGACAAATCATCATGCTCCATTATCCTTAACACTGCTCCCCAGTGACGAGCCAGCTGCCTGCTCACCACTTTTCTTAGCCACTTTGCTTGGCTCTGCAAGCTTTGAATGAAGCCAGGCAGCTCAGGGAGCTGGGCCCTAATTTGGTCAGTGCTGTGGAGGGAGCACTCAGTACTTGCCAGTGTCGCAGTGCCATTTGCTGCTGATGCATCTTCCACTCTTACATATGAACTGAGTTAGAGGCTCACAAGTTGGGAACTCTGTGAAAGATATGAAAGAGCCAATAAGAGACAATTTATGGGCAGTGCTTAATTTGATTTGTATCCCATTTCATATTGTGATCAGAATCCTTGTCCTCTACAAAGGCACAGGAGACAATAGAAAAACAAATACAGTGGATGTAACTTCTTAAAGATGTGGGACTACCGCGTATCAGTGTCTGAAATGAGGAATTTCCTGACAACATAAGCCCAGGAGAATCATTAGATGAAGTGCCATTAGGATTTATCATATTTTCTGAAATTCATGTTCAGGATCAACCGTGTCTTGGTGAATGATAGCAATGATAGACTTTTCTAATACAGAGAGTCACACAGGATTGTCAAGGGTAGCACTGGACTCTCAGTGATGTAAACAATGTAAGGTGAAATAAATTTATCAGCTATTGATGTCACTTCAGTTACTACCATATGTTTACAAAGACTTTGACAGTATCAATTCAAGTCCAACAATGTGTGGTAAAAACTGTGAAAAATAATTTAGGTTTTTAAAATGAAACTAAATCAATTAAATAAAAGCCATTAAATCTCAATGTCTCCTTTTTATCCCTTACATAATAATAATACATAATAGAGAGAGCCACTATGGGGTTAGGAAGAAACCTAGTGCTAGGTTAATTCCCAAGAACCCACAAGGAAGATCCCACCTAAGACTCTTAGAAATATTGGAAAGGATGCCCAAAATGGACTTCTTCTGTAATCAGATTGGTGAATAACCCAATTATCATCATAGTACCTTCTTCCAGTAATTGATGGAACCAAACAGAGGTCTACAACCAGGCTGAATTCTGGGATACCAGTCGAAGAGAGGGAGGGGGAAAATACGTTTTGATTTAAAGAATATAGTGAAAACGAGAGACATTTCAACAATGAAATAAAAGGAGACAAATTGATTCAAAGCTAACTCTGGAAGTCAGGACTGCTGACATCGACCAGCAGCACAAGTGCTTGAATGTTGTGGTGGGAGAATCATGAAGCCAAAACCAGAGAAAGATATGAAGGAAGACCTCATCTCCAAAAATGAGAATTAAATGAATAAATCAAAACAAAATCAATTTCAGTCTCTTTGAAATCCATATACTTTCTGTTCACATAGCATGTAACATGAACACACAAACAAATGCATACTGTTTCATGATGGCCTCAAATTCATGATCCCTTTGCACCAGCTTCTTCATGACCATCACTGAAGTGTTTCCTTTTACCATTTTCATATTAAACATTTGAAATGATTATCCATATATTCTATTTTGCTTTTATTTATGTGCTCTATTAGAATACTTCATTAATTTTTGTATTTGAAAAAGAATTTAATATAATGAATCCAATTTTCTTGAATTAATATACATACAGTATCCTGAAGGTTATTAAATAGTAAAATTTAAGTTTGACATAGTAGCTAGCATCAGGTAAATGGAATAACTGCCTTGTTAAATCTTAAAATTACTTTAACTCTTCTTGATGATAGTGCCAAATGTACAGTCCATTTTTAGGTAGAATAAATGAAGTATAGTGGCTTTCATATGGCACAGGGTAGAAAAAAGACATATTCCTAAATTCTTACTATCTTATCACTAGTGTCAACATAGATGATGTCTAATTATACTACACACCCTAACCTAATATATGAATTACAGATAAATCCTCTTGAATTTAATATTTCCCTCTTTCATATTAGTTTTACTTTAACACTTGAATTACTATCTATTTAATCTAGTTTGCTTTTGCATTGTATTTTATTAAAATGTCATTATGAATTTTTAATTTTGGCAAAGAATTAAATAAACATGCTTTCTTGACTTCATAGACATACTTTGACTTTAAAACTTTCAGTGCAAATTATAAGATATTTACAAACATTTAATGGCTAATTCTGCAAAATATATTAGAAAGTATAAAGCAAAATGACTTACATTTTATCTTATTCCAATTACAGTGTGGAAAAGAAAACTGTATTTCACCTTGGTGATTATTTCAACTACATAAAACATTTTAGAGGGATCAATGGGCTGTTAAATTTTTAATGTTGCAGGTAGTTTGTTCAATTTGTCTATTATACCTTTTTTCTTAAATTTTATTAGCATATTATATGAAGACCATTCTGTAAACAGCGACAATTTATCTTTAAAGGACCTGCTATCTGTCTAGTGTATACAGCTTAGGAGATGGTTGACAAGGTCATAATTTTCAGATGTATTTTTAATTCATTTTTTGCCCCTTAACTGGTTATCTCTTTCTTTCTTTTCTTCTAAAAGAGTCTAGCAATGTAATTTTTGGCAAAGTCTTGAAATCATGTAGCCGAGAGCCTAAATGATGGAGCAGACAATTACAATCAAGTGTGTAGGAGTATACAGATATTCACGTGAAATTAGATGATAGGGGTAATAATATCATGGGTATATATTTTTGGTTGTGAGCCTAGCCTTTAACGGCATCCAACAATGTGAGGTGCACTCTCACCCTGAACTCTTGGGGAAGGGTCTAGGCCCTGCCCTATATGAAATGACAGACTATGGACACCCCCATGGAGGGCCTCACCCTCCCTGGGGAAATGAGGGGATAATGGGGGGGTTGGGGGAGGGCACGGGAGGAGAGGAGGGAAAGGGAGAGGGCCCTGGAACTGACTTGTGAAGCAACCTTGTTTCTTATCTAAATTTAAACTGAAAAATAAATAAAAAATAATATCATGGGAATTCAGGTTTAGAAAAGTGATGCCAAAAGTTAAGGAGACTATAATCACTCCACTTTTACTGCTAATACTTGTCAACTGGAGGGCTGAAATTGCCATTTATAAACCCTAAAAAATAATATACCTCATCTTAGGATTCATCACAGAAGCAACAAGTAGCTGGGGAAATCAAGAATAATTCTGAGAGATATCAGAACAGTTGAGTTTTTAAATATACTGCCATGATCATTATCAAAACACTTTAATGATACTACAATAGAGGAAGATTTGATAAAGATCAAATGCTATATTCTCCATTCTGTCTTTTGCTTGAAATCTGTTTTTTACCTGCTTTAATGTGTATAATTATCTGTTAGTATGAAAAATGAAATGGTGCTTTTCAAAGTTCCTCATGTTGCACTGTCTACTGAGTGCCATTTTTCAGATGCCACATTTTGTGGCTTCTAAGACTAAGACTCATATAGAACAGATTACTTATTTATATTGCTTTGCCTTCACTTACATCAGTCTTGTTTTCTCAGTAGTCTTTCTCATTAGATTACTTTGGTTAATTGTATATTTATGATGTCTATAAAATGATTTAGTGATGCAGAGCAATTTTGTTATATGGGTGGCTTTTTTACTTTGTAGGCATGAACTGCACTTTACTTATGGGCCAATTGCTATTTGTTACTCTTTAAAGTAGATTTAAAAAACAACTTAGGTAAAATGAGAATAGTTAATATGTATGTGAAATGCAGATTTCTAATAGACAGGCAATAATAGACGCATGTTAAAGTTGTAAACACATATTTAATTATTTGGAGTAAATGGTTACCACATGATACAATTTTAATGTTATATATTCCATAGGTCATTTTTTAAAGTATCCAATGATATAAACAAAATGTAGTATAAGTATTGTGCAACATTTTACGTTTCTTACTACTTTCTGCTTTCTATAAAGGGCACACATGTAACTCTTTTAATAAAGACTGTCAGATTTTAGACAGATAACCCTGGGCTGAGATCTTGGCCATATGAATAATTAATGGGAGGCCTTATGCAGTTACTTAACATCTCGGACCCTAGATTATTAGTGTGTAGAGTAAATGAAAAATATTGCAAAAGTTGACTCACTCAAGTTTTTATTTAGAACTTTATTACATATAGAATTGTAGGTTATATAAATAGATTGTGGAGAATGAATGAATGCCCTAAATAGGCACTGAAAACACAAGGGCTCATACTCTTTTCTCAACTGAAGGAAATAATTGGAAAAATATTTGGAAGGCTTACATGCTTTCAAAACCATCAAATAATTGATAGTATAAAGGCAGTGTAGATGGTACCCTAGACTGGGATTTTTCCACATTATGCAGGGTTCAGAAGCACTTTCATTCAGTACAAACAGTGTTGGCCAGTGAGTGGCAGTTAGGAGGGGAAGCAGCAGACACTGCCTTTGGGCTGCCAGAGGGCTTTTTGGATACAAGTACTTCAGAAATCAGAGGAGATATGAGGCAGTTCATTAGAAGTTAAGCCTCAGAAGATTTTGTTCAGCTCTAGGCTACCAGGAGTCCTGAGTACATTTCAGGTGTTCTACTCTATTTTGTGGTTGATCTTCAGGCCGAGCATATTACATGCACTTCTGGATTGCAATATTTTCAAGTCAAAATACATTTGTCAGAGTGTGCCTATCAAAAGCCAAGGATAATCTGTATTCCAGCAAAACACAGAAATAGCAGGGATCACTTTAGGTGGTTTTAACACTATTCTGAAAGAAGTGACATAAAAGTAATGTGACTGAAATATTTAAGTTAAAGCAGATAAGCAGGAAGGAAGGTACTGGAATGTTCTAGATTATTTAAGACACAGATCTCAGTAAACCATAAAGTAAAAGTGCATAAACACTTGGAGAGACTGAAAGAATTTCAATAAAATATATCAGAGTGTTCACATAGCATGTCACTATACACAGCCACATAGGAACACCATAGATGCACAAGAAATAATACACAAACTACACTTGTTCTCAGAATTCAAAAATTATAGAACAATAACTTTTATAAAAGTATAGAAAAGTCATGAAAACTTTGGTCAGTAAAATTCAGCAGATTTAATAAAAAACAGGAGTAGCCTGACAAGATCTTTAGATATTTAAATATTAACTATGTTTGGAATGCTTGCTGATTGAAATTAGAAGACTAGTGTAAGAAGTTTAGGTAAAATTTACTTGAATAGTTAAGGCAAAAATAAATAGTTACTCTAAGAAGTAAAAGCAGGCGGGTGGTAGTGACACAGGGCTTTAATCCCA